TATGATATATATATATATATATATATATATATATATATATATATATATATATATATATATATATATATACATATATATATATAAATGATAGATAGATAGATATCAGTGGTTTATAGAATATGTTTTCTAAAAAGCAAACAGTGTTAACTCTAAGAGTTAATGCCAAGAGTTAAGTAAACTTGTCATCAACGATTTGTGCTCAAATTTTGTTAATGACAACGCTCTGCTTCCACTTAAATTTAGCTCAGTATCTGTAAATATGACTGTCAGCCATTTTTTTCTGTTTTTAAAGGACAATTGGTTGTGGTGGACATCTTGAATGGAGATGCCTTCAAAATTTAATGAGTTGTTGATTCACATCCAATTGTTATTTTCTGAAAGTTTTATTAAAGTCTGTGCTGTGGTTCACGATATTTTAACAACTGTTAATTCCAATAAATAAGGGTCCCAAAACATTTTTAACAGATTTTGTGTTACCATTTACTCGCTCACAGTATATGTTCCTGATCAGCTTCACCTACTAGAACAGCCATCCATCCATCCATTATCTTTACCCGTTTATTCCATTTTGGGTCACGGGGACCTACTAGAACACTTGATTTTATTTCAATATCTGTAACACTGACAGAGATACACATATTTTTGTGTTAGCTAAGCTCGTCTTGCTGATGTGGCAGCCGTCTTAAATCATGTTACCTTAAAAAAATAATCAGTTATAGATGTGACCCCAGTAATACTTTCAGTTTCATTAAAATCCATGTAGTGCTTCACGAGATTGGGGCCAGTCAGAGATGTTTCACTAAAGTTGAAGGTAAAGGTCAAACAAACACACACACAGCATCATGACTCCATCTTTGCAGGGTGAAAATGAGATGATTCATGAGATAGTTTAGTGCAGAACTAGTTTTAGTTTCAGGTTAACTCAGGTGGATGGTTTAATGGCCACACGTCTGCTGTATCATCTTGGAAATAAAGAGATAAAACAAAGGCCTTGTTTGGTTTTGTCACATAGGTCCCAGGTGTATGTAGACATAAATGTAGATGTAAGTAGTATTTAAATCACATATCCTGATGCATGCTCAATAATTTGACTCCCATCACCCTTTGGAGCACAAGTTAGGAGTCATCAGGACTCTGTACCACAGAGCAGACAGCGTCCCCACTAGCTCAGGAGCCAGGCAGAAGGAGAAATTCTACACAAGACAGGCTCTAGAGCAATGTGGATATCCTAACTGTGCCTTCCTGAAAGCAGAGAAGAAACCCAAACAGGACTCCAGTCAGCCAACAGGTGAAAAGGAGGAACCCAGACCCAGACCAGTGGTCATTCC